CTTATGTTTGGTCAATAATGACTGCATATTTATTGCTTAATGCACCCCATGTAAGAGAATCTGAATTCTGGAATGTATCATTCCAGAAAATATCCATACCTCCCCAACGGATGGACAATGGAATATTTTGACGGGGGGATAACACAATCCGGGAAATTTTTGATTCTGGAATCCGGAATCCAGAATTATTTTTGTTACTGGAATCGGGAAGGTCAAGGAATCCAGAAGCCACAAACGATTGGGATCCAGGATTCAAGCTCTACTGACAAAGAGTGGAATCCAACATCTGGAATCCGGAATCCACGGTTGGATTCCCTTACAAAGGGCAATTTCATGCTTGATTCTCTCTGACAGAACACACGTATTTATTATGCATACAGGTATTCCGAATTCACCTGGACAGACGTTTCGACCGCTATTGTGTGAAATAGAATGAAATTGCTGCATGCATAATAAATGGCGCTGTACGAAAATCTCTTCAGAGAAAAGCTTTCTAGATGAATTATGTAAGTTCAAGTAACTACCTGAAAGCTCCATTTTGCACGTTGTTTCCTCGAGAATCAACCGCCAAGGAATGCAAACAAATTCCTTCTCCAGGATAAAAGGAAAAGTTCCGTACAACTTCTTCTGGGGTTTTGTCTATTTGTTTGAATTACATGTAATTTTTTCGTTCTTATCGTGAAAGGTACAAGAGAATAATCGATTTCGTAGCAATCGACATTCCCGCGTTGAAATGTGTCCCATGGCACCCTGCGCGATCTGTGGATACCCCCGGGACCGTGCGACGGCCCGTGGCATTTTTCGTTTTCTTTTGAGAATTTTGTGTATCTTCTATTGTCATGTTGTGACCTTTCACATACCAAGCCACGAAGTGAACGTGCCTATCTAGGGGTGGCGAATGATAAAATCCGAGACTCGCCGAGACCCTCTTTGGTAAAAAGTTTGGAGACTCAAAAAAAGTAAAAACAAACCATGCAAAAACGAGACTTCGAGACAGTTATCAAAAATGCTTCCGAGATTTCGAGATCCTGTTAAAATTTTCCCGAGACCCACGTTTTTCGAGGTACCATTCGCCACCCCTCTATTTCACAGCCTTAAAATGTATCGGTCCCTTTAAAGACCAGAAATGACAATTTCCCTTCCCTCCCATACCCTACAACTTGTGAAATCCTAACAATTTCATATACATCAAGCCGTAAAAAGGGTAACCCTTTTTTGGGCAGAGCCTCCTGTGTGGGGCATAATAGGGAGTACCCCTCCCAACACACCCCCCGCCCCCTCCCTACTTCCAGATGCCATAGCCTCTGTTATTCACTGTTATAAGGTTGCAGAGGAAACTGAGTCAAATTAGTCCCCCACAACATGCCCCTAGTGAAATTTTGACACAAAACTGACCCCGTCTCTCCTGGGAGGAGGGGAGGGGCGGTTGGGAGAAATCCCATATAAAAGTGACAGGGATTCTCATTGTCTCCCTTGGGGGTCTAAATTGCGGATTTTTGTCTCACTCAAGGTTTTTGGCGATGGAAAGTCACTTTGCCCATTCAGGTATTACTTATAGGGCTTGCAAAAAGAAAGTTACAAAAAATGTCCTGATCTTTTAGTATGGTCTCCTTTTGAACCACACCCACATTGATCTCCCTTGGGGGTTTAATGATAATTTTTCGACGAGCATTCCCCTCACTTTTATACGGGAGTCTCCCCCTGGCCCAATCTCAACACAACCTCAAAATAACAATATTTTATTATTTCAACAGCTTCCAAAAAACAAGTTTTATTATCCATTCATGAACTGTAAATCAACAGTATCAGTTACGTTTCATATTACATACACAAATCATAAAAAATGTATAACTTTCTGCAACCATAGTTACAATGTTGTCATACTGAAGAACCTAAAGCTTGTAATCACATCACAGTCTAAGTTACTCATAGATTACATAATATCATTATGATCCCTCTAAGTTTCTACTTCACCCTAAGATACAACAACATTTGTTTTGGTTTATTTGTAAAACAAAATTAAACAAAAAAATCCTTGGAAGGGTTTGAAATTCTAGAAAAAATATAATTGTTTGAACACTGCAAATACTAAGTACTCATTATTTTTTTCGGAAAATATTAGATTTCAAACCTTCTAGGTTCATGATTAACAAAAAATCAAGAGAACTGAAGTAAGATGTTGAAATGATAAGACTATGACCGCTACACAATATCCTGCTAACAAATATCCATTCATGTAAATGTTTAGGTCATATAAGACAAAATCAAGACAGAAACTCAATTGATTTTGTCTCGAGAAGTCAATTAAACACACAGAAAGAAAAGTTACTGCACTTTTCAGTAACACACGTACGCTGAATTTGTTTTTATCAACAGGTAGTCTTGTTCTTCTCTGACCATATCATAATAATATTGATTCCTCAACAACCCATTTTTTTAGATAAATGGCTTAAAATGACTGTGAGGGTCATGATTGGAACATTTTCTTCTGTATCACTCCTGTTTTAAAGAGTTCTATATTTCCTGCCGCATTGACTGACGGCAGATCAAAAATTAATGTGTCTTCTAGCAATGTACTCAACTTACAAGTGTATAGCTGACTGATAAAGAAAGTATCAGTGGATTGAGATGGGCAAAGTTTGAATAATTATTAATGTATGTGATGTGTGACATAACTATGATTTGTTACAATTTTTATTACAAGGCATGTTACTATTTATAATCTTAGTTGGAGGCACATTCACTCCTTTTTGCTTTTGTGCATGGTTACACATTTCCCTCTCAGAAACATTGATGCTGCTGATGAGTTTGTAGCATTGGGAGTCTGTGGACAAGATCCTATGGTGTGACAATTTGTACACTAAACCTAAACCTCCACAGCTGAATACTTTCACATGGTTCTGTTTATTTTTGATACTTGTTAAAATTAAATTTGGAATTTTAAATTTAGTAAGGAATTTCAGTCTGGTAAAAACGGAAGTGATCATTTTTTTAAATTCCATACTTAAAATGGGGACCCACCTGGTTTAAACACACAGGAAATCAAAGACAATTTCCTACACTTACCTATTGTAAACCTGTGGGGAAAAGTTAATAATAATAATAATAATAATAATAGCAATAATAACTATAATAACAAATTTATAACGTGCCTTTTCCATGCAAATAATTATGATCAAAAGCACGTAATTGATCTACAACTATGGAAATGTATTTGACTTAATTAAACTATTCAAACAGAAGCTTGAAATGTCTGCAACCAAAGCTAACTTGAAGATTTTTCTCCCCAGCTTGTTTCTGAACCTGTAAAATCAAGACACTTCAACGCCACATCTCAGATTTTAGAAAAATTTCATTTTCACATAAAGGTGGATTACCACTGACACTTGATTTTTATATGCATCGCTATATACGTGCAAATGTTATGTGTTCAGGACTGTGCCCTTGTACTACCCATTGGCAACTTCAGGCACCTTATTTTTTGCTTCAGGCTGACAAGAAAATCATAGCTTTTTAGTAGAAATCCCATGCTGAGCACCCTGGATTTCACAGCTTTAGAGCACTGGGCATCCTTCAATTTTTTCTTTGAGCGCAGCCTTGTGTATAAACATAACACTTGTGTATACAGCTATTTCGAGAAAGGTTGTCGGAAAAAGTGGACGTGACAATCCTGAAAGGTATTGTGGGTGGGTTTGCGTCCACTGTTCTTCAAAGAAATTTGAAAGAATTGCCAAGAGGCCATGGACATATGTTTGCGAGTACTAAAGGAAAGCAATAAAAAATAGTTTTGACAGCTACTGGGTCGGGAACAGTGTATTGATCATAACCCATTTCTTCCGACAACCTTTTTCAAAATACACTGTAGCTGTAAACATAGAAGTTTAACAAGGTTCAACTACGCACAGCCTTTCATGCTTTGACTCTATTTCATTTATGCGCCTTATTTTTTTCATGCGTACGCATGTAAAAATTAGGCAAAAGTGGAAATCCATCTTAGTATGAAAAACAAAAACTTCATAATCAAACTTCCCATCGTTGAGTACCAAAACAGTGATTTGACTAGCCAAAGAAACTATTTGGGTACGCAGATCTTGGATAGGCGGTCACACATGACTGTTTTATAGAATCATGCAGATGAGTGGGAGATGCTTTTGCTTGAATGGTCACACCTGATCAGATCAGGGCATTGGATCTGCACCTACATTAAATGTCTATAATTGACTGTGGATCCAAAAGAGTTAAATAACATGAATGTTAAAGGTCAAAAAAAAAGTTGCCACTACCTTTAAGTTGTGCAGTTGGAAAGTCCAAATAAAATAGTTTACAATGCCATTTCATTCCCAAACAATACTTGCTTTAATAACTAAAAAAAAATCTCCTTCCATTCCTAAACAAGAAATCTCCCTTAACAGTGCCAGCTCCCCCACCCCCCCCCACCCCCTCACCCCCCCCACCCCCACCACAAACAAACCAAACAAAACCTCCAAAACAACACAAAAGAAAAATAACCAAAAAACAAGAAAAAAAACAAAAAACAGCACACACAAAAACCAAAGA